CCTATATTTATATTAGCTCAGCATGTTGCTAAATATATAACCACAAAATAGAATTATGAAATTTTAGGATTAGAAAGGATTTTCCCTATCATGCAATCTCAATCTGATTTTACATCCTATCACATTCCCTTCATTTACTCATTTGCCTGATGGATTCTAGTGATGCTTATTACCTCCCCTCACGGGATGCACAAAGAATTAAGGGACTAGAAGAGACCTTAGGAAACTGGAGGCTGGAAAAGGTAAATGACTTACCAGTGAGGTGTAATTAAGTACAGAATATAAATTAAAACACCAGTCTCATATACTCTCTATTCTCTCTGTTTTTCCCTTTATCAAAATTTATATGAATGAAGAAACTGGAACCCTCATACACTGCTGGTGAAAATGTAAAATGAAACTGAAATGTAAAACACTGAAAAACAGTTTGGCAGATCCTCCTCAGAGTTACTATATGACCAGGAATTCCATTATTATGTATACACCCAAGAGAAATTAAAAACATGTCTTCACAAAAACTTGTACATAAATGTTTATCACAGCCTTATAAAAGTCAAAAAAGTGGAAACCACCCAAATGCCCATCAACTGACAAATGGATAAATAAAATTCATTTATAAATAAATGAACAAAATACCTATTCAATGGAATGTTATTCAGTAATAAAAGGGGACAAAGTACTGATATATGCTACAATATGGATGAATCTCAAAAACATGTTACTTGAAAGAAGCCGCTAACAAAAGACCACACATACTATATGATTCCATTGATGTGGAATGCCCCAAACAGGCAAATTTGTAGAGATAGAAAGTAAAATTGTGGTTACCAGGGACTGGAGGGGGTAGTAGGGAGTAAATACTAATGGGTAGAGGTTTCTTTTGTGGGAGATGAGAATGTACTAAAATTAGATCATAGTGATGGTAACATCAATCTATGAACTTATTAAAACTATTGCACATTTTTAGAAAGGTGAATTGTAGATATACAAATTATAGCTCAATAAAGCTATTTTTAAATGAATAAACAAAGAACTAGTTACTGTCTTTAAACAACTTTGTGTAAATGATTTAAAACATATTAATCAGTTGACACTTCCATCAAGAGATTCCGTCCCCTTGGACTTGGGTGGGTTTTTGTGGCTGCCTGAACCAGTAGAATGTGAAATTACATCACGTAAGAGGCCAGATAGAAAAGTCATACAGCTTTGGGGAGTCTCAGAACACTGACCCTGTCGGCATCACACCGTTTGGAAAGCTGGACCACATGAGAGGTCTCAGCCAAGCTCCCAGATAAAAGCCAGCATCAATTTGCCAGCCAGCTCTGTGACTGGGTCACACCAAAAGCAGATCTTTCAGCTCCAGGTCAAGCTGCCACAGCTGATCCCACACAAAACAGAAAGCCAACCTGACTAAGCCGGACACAAACTGCAGAGTTGTGAACAAAGCAAGTCCTTGCCATCATTCTAAGCCATTAAGTGTTGGGGTGGTTTAATATACACAGCAGTAGGTAACTAGAACATCTTATGTACCTAAGGTTAAAAACAGCATCTATCCCCTACTTAATGTAGACATTTCTTTCTGGAGGCTGCCATCCAACTGCTGTCTGAATGTTTTGACTAACATGGAGACCAGTTCCTCACAAAGCCGCTCCTTCCACTGGTGAACATCTGGTGAATATGGTCTGCCTTGTATTAAGATTGGTTTTGTCCTGCCCAATCTCTTGACCAATTTGTAGCCTCAGATGTAACCATTACTGTCTAACCCCTCTTCCTCAGGCCAGGCCTTTACCTTATTAAGCAGTAGGGAAATCTTTAGCACTGTCCCATTTTATAGCTGAAGAATCTAAAATGTACAAATTGGCTTCTTTATTCAAAGTTGCATGACAGACACTGAAAAAAATGCACTTATTTGAATTTTGGATAGAAGGTTTTCATTTAGTATGTTTCTGTTTAATATGAGACAAATGTAATGGATACAAGATGTGTTGTCCATACTCAAAATCACAATTTTCATACTTACGCCATTATTGTTTAGAGGGTTGGTCCTCACTTCTATCATCTAGGAGGAGGGTTGGTATGAATAACTGAAAGATGAAAACCACTTTTCTGTACCACCCGTCTTTCCCTTGTTTGTACTTAAATATTTCCTGTTTTAATTAAGTAAAGCCAGTTAGCTATTCAAGGGCAGAGATAACTTTTTTTTAGTCTTCCTTGAATACATATATTTGGAATGATTTGCCTAGCTCTGGGAGGCAGCATATAGATAACAAGGATAAAATAATTTCTTTCTAAATGATTTAAACAAAGATCTTACGCCAAAAATACGTCTTCTCAAAGATCTTGTGCCAAAAAAACGTCTCATCGTGTCAATGTAGCAGTTGTACAGTAAGCTTTCTTCCACAGTCAGCAGTACAGAACTTGAGATTCTTATAATGTTGATTACAGTATGTCAGTTGTCATGACAACACTTTGTCCCCAAACATTCTTTCTAATTGAGACAATTTCTCCTCCCTTCAGTCCCCTAAGACTGACCCAATTACACAAACCAAAACCCAGAGGGTGCCTCTCAGTAACAATACTCTGATTACACAACCTAAGGAAAATTTTAAACATCACTTTTCCAAGTTGCAAGGAAACTTCAGGCAATTCATTTTGTTTTCACATCTAAATTCTTACAAGTTGAGTAGTAATTGTCTGATATAACTTTGAAACTGTATGCTATATTCCATGATCACATTAGAGAAGTCTAAACTTTTAACACAAACCATTCTGTTAATATACATGTAACATATTTCATTTATGTTCTCTGCATTGTATGTGTAGTCTATTCATTTCAAGGCACAATTAAAATCTTCTAGGAGCAAGCAAGACCATGTTAAACTCAGTGAGGGTACCATTGGACCACATAGAACATTTGTACACTAGCCCAAATCGGCCTCATGTGATGTAAGGATAGAAAAAAATCTGAATTCATATAAAATTTAGTAGGCTATCATAAATGAGGGCCCTGGAGTGAAATCCTAGTAACTCCAAAAGATAAAAGTCCAAAAAGAAAAAGCAATGTTGGGAAATGTGGTATTTCCACTGTCTCAAATTGTAAGCTGGTAATTCTCTTAATAGTACAAAATATGCACCTGAGGGGAGAAATCAAATACTGCCCAAAAGTTAATCAATTTTAATAAATCAGTAAAAAAATAAATTACTTAAAAATAAATAAATAGTACAAAATATGGATTGTTTTCAGAATATACAGCTTATTTAGTTAGAAAAAATTTGATGAGTTGATCAAGATTTTAATTTTTATTGTATACCTACCCAGAAACAAAGGCTTATTTTACATATCTAGTAACATCTCTTACACCTCTGCAACTACAGACCCAGTAGTAATCCCAAAAAAATGTTCCCTTGTAAGCTCAAACAAAATCTACAATTCAAAATTTACTATACACTCATTGCAGGTGAAAAGCTTAGATGCTTAGTGTCCACCATTCTATTTTCAGTGCATTTACTTAGCCAAAGAGCAAAAGAAAAAAAAAATCACTGAATACATCCATTTATCTAAAAGGAGAACGATTAATGTATGAGTTTCAACTAACCCCAACATTATGACAATAAAGGTTAACTGTAAGACAATTTACTATGAAGTTATAAGACAGAGGGCAACCAAGTCTACAGTAAATAAAAGTAAAAACACTTTAAGTTTAGTCTATGATTTCAAAAACAAGTCAAAATAAAAAGAAAATACACAACTTTATGGCAGACAGCTTAAGAATAATGAGCATTGTTAGAAATACTAAGGCAGAGCAAATGAATCTTTTAAAACTGTCCACCAAATAACTTTAAATGATAGGCACATGCAATCCAAGAAGCATCTGAGAAACAGGCAGAAAGATGAAGCTGAGAAAGTCTAAAAAAGAGTCCAATTTCTAAAATCTGATGCTTACAGAACTGAGTTTACATGAATAGATTCTGCTGAAGATCAGAAATCATGGGGGAAGGTCTATGAAACCGAAACATTATGAGAAATTTACTATAAAGAACTCATGGGTAAAGATGCTGCATTGAGCAAGAACTCAACTACTAATAACATTTTTAAAAGTCTCACTTTGTTTGGACAAGAAAAATAATTGCTAAGTCTATGAAAGTATTTTACTAAACACAAATGGAGAACTGTAGAAAGAGGAAGCATTGTGAAATTTATGACTGTGTTTTGTGCAAGACTAGTGGTCACTGTCAAAGGTTTTTCATTTCTATCTATATATAAAAGTAAAAATAAGGGCGTTTTCATTCATTTAAAGCAAAAGTAAAATACTGCCTGGTTTATGGTGGTTATTTTCACCTTACAGTCTTAACACATTCCAAGACTGATTTGCTTTTCATTATTCCTTTAGGGGACTTGGAAGAGGAGGGAACGCAAAGCTGCAGATTAAACAGCCCACTTCATAATTGAGGAAACTCAGCAGTGGAATATATCAGGGGACACCAAAGAGATTTCCAGCTAGGGCGGACAAAAGAGAAAACAGGCACAGCAAGAACCTAAGCTGCGAAAGAGATGAGAATCAGCCCCAAGTGTAACTGAAGGACTGGACAAAAAAAAACCTCGCTCCACACTGCTGGTGAAATGAGCAGATCTGAGATTCAGGTCATTCTCGGATCTCCTTCCTTCCCTCAAGTCCACCCTAGGACCGGAGGCCAGCGCAAGTCCCGGTGCAGACTTAGAGATCCCCCAGGGGTCCATCCACTGGGACAATGAGCTCTAAGGCCCCTTCCGGAGCTTTACAGCCCTCCGTGGAGCTCTCTAGCGCTGTATTTCACAGGTCCCTAAAAAGTCACTCAACCCCGACTTCAAACGGGGGCGGAGAGGAGGGGAAGAAGGGAAGGAAGGGGAGAGAGAGCGCGCGCTGTCCGTTGGGCTCGCTCTCCTCCAGGCCTGGGCTGCCAGGGATCCTCGCGGAGCCTCTCGGATGGGCTAAGCGCAGTGGCTACCGGAGTCTGGTTACCTTCTCACGCTGATCCCAGCTGTACTGTTTCGGCTGCTGCTCCTCGCCTTCTGCCTGCGAGTCCTTCCCAGCCTTCCGCCTCTTGGAGAAAAAGCAGCCCATGGTCCCGCGCGCGGGTTTTGCTGGCCGCGATCTCTGGCCGGCCACTCAAGCACCTTCCAGAGTGTGGCGTGAACCCCGGGCACTTGGGCTCCGCAACTCCCCGGACACCGCCCCGCGGAACCGCCCAGCAGTCCGAAAGCAGGGTTCGCCAGCCAGGCCCAACACCCTTCTCTTTTTCCTCCTAGTCGCCCAGACGACTCGCAGCAGCCAATGACCGCTCAGCGCCTGTAGAGCCAACCGGAGCCTCGCGATCAGTCCTGTGCGGCCTACGAGGAGAGCTCAACGTTTGCACCCAACCAATCCCCGCCCGATCACCCCGCCCCAGGTCTGCCCCGCCCCTTCGAGGACTCAGAGTAGCTCTCGGGCTGGAGGGAGTGGGGACTCGACATCCTCTCTTTTTGTCCTTGGGCCTCAATTTCCAAGTTCTTGACCATCTTTAGTGGAACTTTAGGCTGCAGTTCTGTGATGGAAATGGCGAAGGAACAGTAATTCCTGCTGACACAGGGACCTGAAATTCGGATTCTTCTCTCTTCCATCCATCCCCGCCCCCGCGTCCTCTGACTGGCTTAGTCCCCACAGGAAGCTTCCCCAACATCCTCCCTGTCTGTCCTTGCTCACTCTTCTGTGCTTTCTTCATACTTCCACGCGTTACTCTAAAATTGCCCAAGTACTTACGGAAACAATTATTTGTGTACTGTCTCTCCATTAGAACTATAAATTTATTGCAAACAAAAGGCCCATCTTAAAGGGCATGCATCTTTGAACTCTAGCCTGGCCCACATCCATACTAGGTGTTCAATAAAACATTTGTCGAATGAATGCATGAATGAAAGCTTGCAAACTGGTGAAGGAAGAAGCTTTTATAGACTTTTCCACAGTCCTTCCTAAAGAAAGTGACCGAAGGGGCGATGTTATGGTAAACGGGTTCTCATGAAGGTTATAGGTAAGTTGAAGACATAAGAATTGCCATATAAACAATCAGATCTGTTCTAAGCAAATGGTAGGGTTTGTTTGAAATTAAAACATTTATACACTAAATATTAACATTTGTTATATATCAGTGGAATTTTACTACAATACACATGTATTGCTTATGTAATAGAAAAGATAAGTTGTTGGTTTAATTCTCTGAGCACAGTTATTTTTGAAATCTTGAGAGGACATTGAATCAGTTCAGGTTCAAATTACCTTTTTGCCTTCTCACACTTATTCACATCTAATGTATATCCTGAATGAGACTCTGACTGAATTTGAGCATTAAGAATGTTCTCCTTTTCACTTCCTGCCCTTTACTGCACAACCAGGAAGAAAACTGCATGTGCTCAAGTGTTAGAAATTACTGCAAATTTAAGTTCCAGACCTTAGGCAATAGAGCCTTTACCCATTGCACACTTCTCAGAGTACGACAAAAGCTTTGTGTGAAGATGTTTTGAATAAGATCCTTAGATATTTTATATTCATAGAACGTTCAAATCGTGACCGTCACATACCGTGGAGGAAATAGAGGCCCACAGAAGTGAAGGGACTAACCTGTGGTCATAATGAAAGTGATTCAGCAGGGACTAGAAAAACCCAGAGCTTGTGCTGTCCAGTGCTCCCTCCTCCCTAAACTTGTTCCTCTCTGATTCATTTGAAATAAAGAAGTAAAGAATTACCTGCCTAGGCCTTCTGATGCCTGTGGGAGCTCTGTCCCTCGGTGACGCTGTGCCTCTAATGAACAAACGACAGAATTAATTTTAGAGAAACAATTCCTAAAACTCATAGTTCTGAAGTATTCATTAATAAGAAGCCCAAACCTAAAAAATCTATACCCGACAGTGATTTTTTTCAGTGACTATTAAACAAAAGTGAAGATAAAGTCCACTTTCTGTCCATTCCCATCCCATCATCACCCCTAACCAAAAAAAAAAAAAAAAAAAGAAGAAGAAGAAGAAAGGAAAGTTAAATCAAATTTAAAAAACCCGGGACTAGAAAGCTAATGAAGAGTTAGTGCTAGAGCGCTCTCATGCTCGCTGTCTTTTATTCTTTTTTCTTTCTCCTCTTGCTCTTTCTCCTTCCACATCACCCCCATCCCCATGAATGGAATCTTCTCATCAGTACAATTTTTCTGCAAACCAGCTTTTTACTTACCCATCAGCATAAACATGACTGGGAATAGTCATCCCACTCTGATTCCTCATGGCCTTTCTGTCCAAATGCATGTTACAGTTTCTTTGTACCTTAGTTCAGATTTTCAAGGGAGATAACCGGATAAGTCCCTGGCTAATTAATAACACAATGGCTACCCATCGGTCAACTGTACACCCCTGGTCTAATCGCTGCAGCTGCAGGGATGAGTTCCATGTTTCAAACACCGTTAGGAAGCAGGTCCTGAAAAGGGAACATGTGTGAGAGCTCTAATGCCTCAAAATCCAGGCCAAGATTGTCTTCTTCTTCTGCTTGTTCTGCTCCTGCTGCTTATATTCTTGTGACCTCTTTTCTCTGGAAAACTGCCTTCAAGTTTGGCTTAATAGATACATTCTTCTCTGTGAAAAGAGTTGGGCTGTGGTTTTGCACCTGACCACAGGCTCCAGAGATAGTCTGTGTTGCCTGTGTGTCTTGACCACAGAAGTGATAAAGTTATCTTTCAGAAGATGGTCCCAAAGAGATGTATTTCCACAGCATGAATAAATCAGTTGCCCCAGCAACAAGAGCTAGAAAAGTTATTCTTGAGCTGACCTGAATCATGTGTGTTTACTTTGCACTCACCCAAGGAAAATTTTACAGCAATGAAGAAGGACTGGGTGGGGGGCTTTTCTATTATCCACTGCTGTGTAACAAACCCATGTGAAACTTCATGGCTTAAAACAGCAATTATTTATTTTTTCCATGTGTTATATATTTATTTTACATTTTTAAAAGACAGGTTTATTAAGAAAAGGAGAAAGAGAAAAGAGACACCTGCGTAGTCACAGGTGGGCAGGAGAGCTGCCCGATTTATTATTTTGAATCTGCTATTTAGGTAGGGCTCAGTGGGGACAATTCAACTCTGTTCTATGCTACATCCAGAGCCTCAGCTGGGAGGACTCCAGTGATTGGGGGACTGGCCAGGAAGTCTCCTATATGAAATCTCAGGACCTCTCCATGTGGTCTTTCAGCAAGGCGGCCTTAGGGTAGACAGACTTCATATATTTTCCTGAGGCCTCTAAGGGTGAGAGTTTCAAAGGAGTAAGATAGAAGCTGCCAGACCTCTTCTGACATAGCCTCAGAAGTCATGCAATATCACTTTCACTGGATTTTGCTGGTCAGGCAGGGCTGGCCCTGAGTCAAATACTAGAAGGTGCAGATCCTTGGGGTGTCATCTCGGAGGTTGGTTATCAAAGCAGGAGTCAATACTGTCAATGGTATTACCTATGTGCTAAAGAAGAAGGTTGGATGGTTGAAAATTTGTTTAGGAAGGCAACTTTTTATTTTCCTTTTAACAGATTTTTGAGTCAACATCTCTTCTCATACTTTAACTTTCAGGTAGTTCTTACTGAGTTTCTTTCACTACCTTATTGACCAGTTCCAATTATTTTTTCATGAATTTTATTGAGGTAACTCTGGATTATGACATTACATAAGTTTCAGGTGTACAGCTTGACAGTTTGACATCTTAATATACTCAGTTTTAAAAGCATCAAAAATTGTGTGTGCAGGGCCTCCCTGATGGCACAGAAGTTAAGGTCTCAGCTCTATCAAGCTATTGCCAGCCACTGTGCCCTGAGTTTGATCCCTGGCCAGGGAGCTACCCACATGGTGCAACAGACCTCTCCTGTCTTGCCCGCTGCTCCCCTCAGCAGTGTGTTTCGGTAGATCCTCCTGTTCTGCTCCCCATTCTGTCTCTGGTGAATCCTCTCATCCCCTGCACCTCTGGCCTGCACCCAGTTCTTCTACACAAAAATAAATCTTAAAAAAATTGTGTGTAATCAGGCTATAAAGACTAAATTAAAAGTTTTTTTTTATTAATGACATATCATTATTTTGCATCCTTGTTTGTTTTTTCACAGTATGAGTTTTCTCCTCTCAGGTGTGGTCACCATAATCTTCCCACCACTAAAGCACTATTAGTCCCCCACCATAGTCCATTGTGCTCTCCTCCTCCCCTGCTTTCTCCCCTCCCACTCTCCTTTCCCCACCCCCATCCCTCCTGGATGCCTCAGGTCTATTGTGAATTGTCCAGGGCTGGTTTTAAAGTTTGTCTTTGTCTGATGCTTTGTTTGGTTTCTCTATTTTCCACATATAAGTGAAACCATCCAGTATTTCTCTTTCTCCTGGTTCCCTTCACTTATGATAATCCCTTCCAGCTCCATCTATGTTGCCGCAAATGACACAAGTTTATCTTTTTTTTTTTTAAGATTTATTTATTAAGAACCGGGGTACAGGCCAGATGCGCGGGAGGATGAGAAGATTCACCAGAGACAGAGCAGGGAATAGAAGAGGCAGACTGACGAAATACACTGCTGAGGGGAGCAGCGGGTGAGACAGGAGAGGTCTGCTGTGCCATGTGGGATTCTTGACGGCGGCCGGGATCGAACCCGCGCTGTAGAGGCTGCGGACAGCTTCACAGTGCGGTGCTCAACCGCCTGTGCCACCAGGGAGGCCCAAGTTTATCTTTTTTGATCTCTGAGTATTATTCCATTGTGTATATGTATATATCACATATTCTTGACCTACTCATCTATTTTGGGGCATTTGGGTTGTTTCCGTATCTTGGCTACTGTAAATAGCGCTGCTATAAACACAGTGCAGATTTCCTTTTGAATTAGTGTTTTTGTGTTCTTTGAAAAGATACCTAGGGATAGTATTGCTGGGTTATATGGCAGATCCATTTTTAGTCTTCTGAGGAGTCTCCACACTTCTTTCCATAGAGGCTGGAGCAGTCTCTACTGTCACCAACAGTGTAAGAAGTTTCCTTTTTCTCCACTTCCTTGCCAGCACTTTTTTTAAAATTTATTTTTAAAATATGGGCCATTCTCACAAGTGTGGGGTGGTATCTTGTGGTTTTGGTTTGCATTTCCCTGATGATGATAAGTGATGATGAGCTTTTTTTTATATCTGTTGGCAACCTGCATGTAAGGACTATATTTCCAACTACTCTTAACATAAGGAATCTTATTCATTGTTGTTGGCAAATTTCTTAGTGTAAGTCAAACAGAAAATATTTGGAAATTAACAC